GTAAACAACACCCCCACCACGAAAAGGTATTGAGTAGCTCTTCCCTGGCACTGGTTGTATGCACATGACCATGTGAGAGAATTTCGAGAGGGAGAGCTGACTCTCCCCACTCTTGGCCGTACCTGTGCATTTGGGGGCTTATACAATCATAACACTGTACATTAAACAATGTTGTATTACTGACTGGTATGAGCAACCTAGCATCCTTATGGCTTAATATAAAGTTTTTATTGATAGTAAAGGACTATTCAATGATGAATTTGTAATGTCAGTTGCTATGTCAACTCCACGTAGTTTATTCCAGCTTTCAGATAGACCAATTTATTTATTCTTCTTGAGTCATTTTTGACTGTTAATGATTAACTTCGCCTTACCATGTTTTGCTATGCATTATTTGGCTTCTCCTCGCTTGGCCTCGATTAGATTTGACCAGAAATACTGAGTAGCGCACAATAAATGTAAGTTGGCTTACATGCCTTCTTCACTGCACGTCGTTTTGTGTTGCTTCTCTCTCTCTCTCTCTCAGATTCGCTTTCTTCACTGCGATTCACGAATTGTCTGTTCCGATCAACGATTTTATTCAGAACTTCCTTCTCGTATTTGAATCATTTAATTCTGATATTAAAGTCGATAACGATATACGCGGATTGACGATATGGACAAATCGATAACGATAATCACGCTAGTCAAACTTCCAGGACCACCAAAAATTTACTGTCGATGGAAGGTTTTCTCCATATGTATTATCAGTTAGTTCGTAATTCAAATCGCTTAGTAATTGTTATATCACAGATCAGTTCTACGTCCAAAATTAAGACCAGTTATCTATAGTGTTTTATTTTGGGTATATGTCAGTCGACGTAGTTGTGGTAGACTAATGAAACTGATGAAGATATATACAATTTACACAATGTACGTCTTACATAATGCCAAGATTTAAAGATAAGTACATTTTTTTGTTTTATTGTATAGTCGAATTCGATGTCTTTCACTGTAGAATCAAATGTATTCTGATGTCTAATAAACAAAACAACTCATGAGTCAATGTATGCTAGACTACTATTGAAAACGTGGAATCATTGAACAGCTCTTGCGTACTAGTATGGTTCAAGTCAACATTGCGCACCTAGGATCCGTCACTCGAAATTTGATTCCATGAACTTCGGTCTCGTGTGCGAACACTTAACCTGTATACCACTAAGTCGGCATTCAATGGCGTGTGCGTCTAATTTCAATCTGTCCGTGAACTGCAGAAAATCTATCCTGAAGCTAGTGACTGGTGAGGATATGATTATTATCAGTATGGGGATATGTGGAGATTATAGTATTCCAGTGTAGTAGTTTAGTGCTTCCATGTTTTCAATGGTGATCTATCATTGATTGACTGGAGAATTCAACTGTGAAAAATTTTTTTAACATTTTCCTCAGAAGACTTCTCACTTCACTATTTTAATGTCAAATCACACTTCAGAGTGTCCGATTCAGTCATTAGTAAATATGTGATTGTTTCATATGAATCGTGATTACATGTAAATTTATTAAGATGCTATTTTCTGTGTTTACATGAAATGGAACTCACTGAAGACAATGGTAGACGGTGGGCCACTTTCGTAGATTTGTTGAAGTTAGACATTAACGCCGTTGGATGCTGGCTCAGTGATCTACAGCCTAAGCGCTCGCGCACAAGTACAAAGGTCCTGAGTTCGAGTCTCACGAGCAAGACCGTGGATGTGCACTGCATAGGATCTCCATACTAGGACTAAACGGCCATCCAGTACTTTCAGGTTTTTCATGGTGGTCTAGCGTCAATTAACTAATGAATTCAAATAATTTTCTTCTAATATGAAATCTATTATTGAACGCAAACAATAAGGTTTACACTGTAAACCTTCAATACTTGTTCTCCATATAAATGTACGAAACGTTCAATTGATTAGGTTAGTAATAATGAAAGAGATCTATACATTAACATAATCTACACTAGCGACTATATATTGAATTCCATATAATCATGCTTTCCTCTTCTGTCCATTCATTGACAAACGAACTGTGATATTCAAATGATCCAATGATGAAATTGCATTCATCATTTCTCATCAGTTGTTCATTGAAAGCCGAGTAATAAATCATCTAGCTTTAAATAAACTAGACCATCAAGGAAAATCTGGAAGCACTGAACAATTTTTTCGTCCTATTGTGGGATTTCTCAGCAGTGAGCATCCACGACCTCGACGCGCGAGATTCGAACCCAGGACCTTCCAGTGCTTCCAGGTTTTCCTTGGTGATCTAGCTTCAATTGACTCATGCTTTCAACTATGATAATACTAAATCTCCACAAAACCCCTTCTGTTTAAATAAACTATTTACAGTATAGTTCACAGATTTTACCAAGATATACTGTGAAATATACAGTACATAAATTAATTTAGCACTGTTTGCTGGAATCTTCCTTTTGATGTTGAGGACTGCAATTGGTCAGTCTCTAATTGGGATATGTGCAACTGTGCGTATTGCTTCGATATAGCCTTATTTCACAAGCATTATGAGGAGAGATGGATGGTGACTAGCAGTGGAATCCAGTTTGACGCACGTTTCGTCCTATTTATGGTAGGTCAGATGGATGTACCTGAATCTCAGAGTTGATGTTCACTCTGGGACTTCAACCCAGTGGCTATCAGGACTCAGTGGTCGAGTGGATAACGCGATGGTGTTTGAAGCGAAAGGTACTGAGTTCGAGTCCCAGAGTGAACATCAACACTGAGATACAGGTACATCCAGCTGACGAGTCCCAAATAGGAGGAAACGCGCGTCCTGGATTCCACTGCTAGCCATTATCCATCTTTGCTTACTATACAGTAAATAGGTCGTTTGCAAAATGTCAATCAACCGTCTTAAACTTTGTTGTTCTTTCATTTGCATACTAACTACTATTTGTTCTTATTCTCTTATGTACGTACGTACGTACGTACATCCTTTCGACTTACCATACCACATTAGCACACAGATACACTTGTCAATTCAAATCCCATAATGGTAGAAATAGTAAAAGTATAAGCAGTAGGGTTTGAAGATGTTATTCAAGGAGTATAATCCAGTGAAATAAATTTGAAGATAGAAAAAAGATAGGGACATGAAGAATTCAGAAGATTAGAATTTGGTAGAACACAAAGAATGGATGCACCTAAGTTATTGCAAACGTAAGACTTTCATTGAGAATGTGGAAGCATGATTTCAATTGGAATTCAACAATCTCAACATCCATATATTGATAATCATCATCTGATGTCTAGTGAATAGCTGGGAAAGGTAATTATAATAGTTCTATAGATAAGTCGTGACCGGTGGAATTCAACTGTGTCTAGTGTGAGACAGTTACTTACTTGACACAATGGTGCACGGTCGCAAAGTGGTTGAAGTGAGATACCCTTACATCTTCATCTTCTAGATGCTTTGAAGTGAATGTAATGAAACTTCAGAGAGAAGTTACCAAAGGCGGAGGATTGGTAGTGTAAGCTGTCACTCTCCAAATGCTTTCACATTGACATGTCTATTCAGCCACTGCAAACGAAGTACTACTCACAGCCTTGTTGTTTACGAAATTCAGAGAATGAAAAGGAAATGTCCTGCCTTTTAACCGTGTAGTTGGATATGCATGACCCACCTAGGGGAAGTTGGAAAACTGATTTCAAACCAATAACGAACAAGGACCCCAAGATCTTGAAGGAACAAATGGCGTATGAACCGATTGTGAGTCACCGGCTACCATGAAACTGTATCTCCTTACGTTGTTCAACTGCCTTGTTGATTAGACCTTTAGGTCGAAGGCCCACGGAGTGACTTCCTAAGAAATCCACATAGTTCGATCTGGGTACCCGTGCAGTTTCACAAACCACCCACCAATTAAGTGACTTAGGTGTAGCATAAGTATTCGATACCCATTCGTAACAATATTTAAATAAATAAAAGTTTAGCATGTCGTACTAAATTAGATTGAATGTAATGATATGATAAATATCACATCAGTTATGCTAAGTAGATATTCATTTTTTTCTATATGTACTCATAACAAATGATGTGCACATGAAGTTTTATTTCAGGTAATTGTATTCTCGGACAATTTCATAAGATATAATGGTACTTTTATTTAGTTGAAATCATAAGTCAATTGAAGATAGACCACCATGGAAAACCTGAAAACACTGGACGGCCGTTTCGTCCAATCGTCGGACTCCTCGACAGTGAGCATCCACGAACCCACCTCACGAGATTCCAACCCAGCACCTACTAGTCTCTCTCACAAGCGCTTAACTTCTAGACCACTTAGTTGGTTGACATACAACGGTGTTAATGTCTGACTTCAACCAATTCACGAAAGTGAGCAACCATTCACCAATGTCTTCAGTGAGTTGGTATCTCCTAACTGATTTGGTAGAACTCCACTGAATACTGCTTCTTCCTAGAACTCTAGGAAGTACCTGGGTTTGAATCTCGCGAGGTGGGATCGTGGTAGGACACTGCTGAGTAGTCTTATGCTGGAATGAATCGGCCGCCCAGTACTTCCAGATTTTCCATGGTGGTCTAGGTTCAATTTATTCATAAACTCAACTACTGAAATAACTATAATATCCACAAAAATCACTTCTGATACTAATTATTTGCTAATCCTGAAGTTGGGTCTTATTTTACAGCTGTCTAATCAGCGAACGAAATTGTCAAACCGTAATCCATTTGTTAAACCCCATGAAAATACTTCAAACTGGGTCAGCCCATTAAGGTTTGTCAAAAGTTAGTGGACATCTTCTTATACAACAGAATATCAAAGTGTAGTATATTTGAGCCGGTCCTAATCTCAATGTTCTTCTCCCTCTTACTCATAAGCTTTGTTATAAACTTCTATTATTATGTAACAATATGAACAAGAAACATCAATATGGAAATAGATTTAAATAATAAAGAAATTGGTACAGAGTATCATAGTTCTTGCTGAAACTTTATCCACTTCATTGAGTCGTCCCCCCATAAATGAATCCGACTAGAGTATTCCTACAAATGTATAAATGAAAAACGATCAATATTATTCAGGAAAGAAACAAATCTTTAACATCACTATTGTCATTATGAATTGTTAAATGAAGTATATGGATTAGAATGTTAATTGTAAATGATATAATGTATATAAATAATTCCGCCTGTAGCTCCTTCGTGGGCTACTGCCGGTCTCAAGCACGGATAAAGGAGGAGAATCAGGAATGCGGTTAGCGACCTCACCCCATAGAAAACCAACTGGCTAAAAAAACACTTACCAGAAGTATATAAATAACCTGTATATCCATTCAATATGAATCTCCAAACGAGATGCAGTAACCAGTGAAGTTCAAACAAATCTGTTTGGAAATACCAATTCACTGAAGACAATGATGAATGTGTAGCTCGATTTCGTGGGTTGGTTGAAGTTAAACATTAACACAGTTTGATGCCGGTCAGCTTAGTGGTCTAGAGGTTAGGCGCCCGTGCGCGATACTGATAGTTCCTGGTTTGGAATCTCGCAAGTCGGGTTCGTGAATATGCACTGCTGAGGTGTCCCACAACAGGACGAAACTGCCGTCCGATACTCCCAGGTTTTCCGGGGTGGTTTAGCTTCAAATTGATTCGTGATCTCAACCATGAAAATGATATACAAAGCTTATTTATCTTGTTTACCGTTCTTATTGTGGTGTGTACTACTTATGTTGGCTTAATTAGTTTGCAACACTAGCCAGTTATAGAATGTCTGGCGGCCGAAAGTCAGGAAAATCGTGGTGGGAATAACGGAAACAGAAAGCAATCAGCATGGAAATGAAGGAATAATGAGGTCTGAGGCAATCGATCAACATTTTACAAGGGAAGTATTAGAGTATGGTTCTCCTACTTTACCAAGTAACTCTGTCATTTTGTAGTAAATATAACTGGTTTTCCTTACCTGTGTTTTCCTTGACCATACTACTTATGCTAACTCAAAACTCCGATGTTTGGAAAGTTAGTAGATAATTGAAAATCACGTTAAGAAAACTGGAATATTACAACGGAGTATATATACAATGTAACTATACTCTTAAATATGTAGATAGTCACTTTGCGGTGTATGCTACTTATATCGACAGACATGAGTAGTATAAATAACAATTGGTAGTGGAATACATGGCAACAGAAGGCTATGAAGGACTACCTAAAGAAAACAGAAAAGGAACTCGAAAGGAATTGTGACTTGGAAGAAGCGTACAGAAGGTAAATATCAATTGATGAAAGATTTGTCAATGAAGTATTCTAATACTTGAAGATATTCTATAATTTAGAATTAAAGTATTTTCAGTTGTCCCCATCTGAATTCTCTTTTATTATAACTTTAAAATAGATGAACACATCTTACCATATTCCATCTAAGAAACTGTAATTGACATTAAGAAAATAAAATGAATAGGGTATGATGTATAACAAGTAAAAATGAACTAATTATACATTCAAGCTTATATGAATCTAAAAGCAACAATCAAGATGTATGTTCCAGGAATTGACTAAAATTAATCTCATGTATTATGAAATGATACTGTTGAAATAGTTCCACTGAGAACGACGATACTTAATCAGAGCTTCATTTATCTTTATATGGCTAATACAGTATACTTAGGGTAAATTTTGTTTTATTAAAATGAACCAAAGAATGAGTTATTATCATGAGAGTAAAAACAATACTGACTACCTACCATAACAAGTTAATAAATGTTCTGAAATGATTTAACCAATAGAAATAGAAGAAGGCGAGTTTCAATAATGTTATATAAAAATTTTGTTGATATTTGATTGATGTAATTTAGGGATATGGTAAATGAAATAATGTATCATTAATGATTGATGTTACAGAATCCATGAGTACGTGTGCTAATCATCCTACTGAATTACATATGGATGATTACTTTGAACCTGGTTCTACTTACTTCTGTTACCCTTCATGAAGGAGTATGCACCTCTAACCGAAATTCCTCATCCAACCCTGTTCTGAGCAAATATTTCCAATTCTTTCCAGTCGCTATTCGTCCTTTTCGTGTCTGCTACTAATTCACGACTTACTATGTATTTTGGCCATTCGATTTTCTGTTTCCCATCAAGATGTCTGTCCAAACAGTACGAATTTATGACCACAATCAGTTTGACTGTACTGGGTATGAGACAGTTATCTACCGCAGGTGATTGATGAGACGTGGGTTGATTGTAGTTATACAATAAAATTGTTGAATGACGACTAAATGGTCCATCGGTTAACCATTCACAAGTGAGACTAAAGCTGCTTAATTTGATCCTTTGTAGCGTGGTCATGGAATAACATAAAACCTTGTTAAAAACTATTTCAAATGGTATATGGACACTTTATATACAAATAAAACTGACCAATAGGAATAAAAGATTCTTTTTACTACTAACTTACCCTACTGCTGAAATAAACCGTCTGTAATATATTGTATATAACAATTGATAGACATTAAGTAAAATATGAACGTTATCTCTTTCTTGTAAGTGTACTCGAAACCCTTTGAAATACTTTACTTCAGTTCAGTAATTTCAGTAAACATATTAAAAGGTGTTATCACTAGTATATTATTCCTTAAACAGCATCAGGAGTATTACATAACTATCAGTACAGAGTTGTAGTGATTGTTGAGTTTTAATTGTGATTATGAACTGTTCGATGTTAGACCACCATTAGAAAAATAAAAGAGTTGGACGGCTGTTTCGTCTTAATATGGGACTCCTCAGAAGTGCACATCCATGATCTCTCACACGAGACTCGAACAATAGACCCCTGGCCTTGGCGCGCAGATGTTTAATCTATAGATCACTAAGAAGCCCTGCATCGAACAATGTTACTTTCAGCCTATCCATGACATTATGTGATCATTTTCCATTCAATAGTTATGATAGTTTTTCTATCAAATATGAATTTCAAAAAATATTCACTCACGTAAAAGATGATCTTCTAAAGTGATAATAAAACAATTATATCTATACTGTAACAATACACTACTACTACTTACTCACTTACTTACTTAGTTACTTACGCCTGTTATCCGTCATGGAGGAATATGGGCAGCTCACCAGCACTCCTCATCCAACCCTGCGCTGGGCAATCCTTTTCAGTTACTATTCATACTTTTCATGTCTTCTTCCGATTCCCAACGTATTGTGCCCTTCGGTATTCCTCATTTCCATTTACCTTCAGGATTCCAAGTTAGTGCTGGCGTGATGATACAGTTTGGTGATTTCCGTAATGTATGTGCGATCCACTCCAAGCATCTTTTCCTAGTTTCCTCTTCAGTTTGATGCTAGTCAGTTCACTCCCACAGTAGGCTGGTGCTAATAGTAACCGGCCAACGGATGTTGAGTATCATTCATAGACAACTATTTATAAATACTTGTACCTCTTTGATGATGGTTGTAGTAGTTCTTCACGTTTCAGCTCCGTACATTAGGATTGTCTTGACGTTCTAAATTTGATGTTGGTTGATTGTTGTTTTGAGTTCCATATGTTCTTGGATGGACAAACCCTACCTTTACGCCGGCACCAGATCCTCCATGTTCATCGATGATGCTCCCCAAGAAAATAATTGATAAGATGAGATCAAAACTTCGTACATATGACCCATAGAATAAATGAAACGTTTATGGTTTTAATGCTTACAAGTTAGGTATATTAAGTTAATTATGGGTTCTATACATAAGTGATAACTAAACAGATTATCAAATGATAGACTTACGTTGGCTCTTCGATTTATATGATAAGGATAAATATCATTAATATGTCATTGTTATTTACATCTTGATATGTTATAGATTATAAATAAATCTCTTATCACAATGAAATACCTAAATTCTAATTTCACATGTAATCGCTATACTCAGCAAGGAATCCCTATTGATTCAAACATACCAGTACAATTAGATGATCCTGATGATGATCCACAATAACATGAAGGTATGAAAATCAGTGGAATTATAATGTAGATAATTGACATTTTACACAACTATCGGAGGTTTCTGAATCAATAAATTCAATTTTTCAGTTCTATATATATAAAAGTACTTGGTCAAGATTAAACGACACAGTTATTATGTGTTTATATCATTCCGTACAAGATTTCTATTGGATATATGAATGACAATAAAGGCGTATTGACTTAAATTTTATGTCAAAACATATTACACCCTATTTAAGCAATATGAATGATTTCATGCTGCTACTGCTGCTGCTGCTGCTGCTGCTGCTGATGATGATGATGATGATGATGATGATGATGATGATGATGATGATGATGATGATGATGATGATGATGATGATGATGATGATGATGATTTGGATGATGATGATTCGGATGATGATGATGATGATGATGATTTGGATGATGATGATTCGGATGATGATGATGATGATGATGACGATGATGATTATTATTATTAGTATTATTATTATTATTATCATTATTCTACCAATATACCGATTAAGAGAATCTTGTATTTTTGTGTAAAAGATTAGATAATGTTTTGTTTCGCATGCTAGATTTGCATGACTCATTGATAGATCTAAAGACTCCGTTACTCTGTAGTACAGTTTATGCTACTGATGTCGATTGATATAAGTAGTATATATCGTCAATCGAAAGTGAAATATTTGGAACCAGAAGGTTAAGAAGATGAAAGAAAACAGAACGAGAACCAAGAATGCTTGATATGGAAACAAAAGAACAATGAAGTTTGAGACGATTGACTGGCATTTGTAAAAGGAACAGTTAAGTTTGAGTCAATTGATTAACACTTTGGAAATTAGGCTTTTAAAGTTTTATAGATCAGAAAGGGGTTCTGTAGAGAATTTATTATTTTCATAGTTGAAAACATCAGTAAATTGAAACTAAACCACCATGGAATACCTGAAAGCACTGTAAGGCCGTTTCGTCCAATTATGGGACTCCTCAGCAATGCACATCCACATTATTGTTCTCAGATTTGAGTAAGAATTTCTGTCATTTTGTATTGCATTAGACTATCCTTGATTATGCTTTCGTTCACGACAGTAGTTGTGTTACTATTGACAAATATTTATGACGAATTAAATAATTTTGCTTACTCACTATGAATGTGGCAAGTGTTAAGTACCTGACTGGTAAACAGGTAAACACTTTACAGCTATTTTTTAGCATCCACAATCAGCTAGAGTAATTTATTGGCTTATCTAGTCTAATTTCAAATAATGTATATCGGTTATCAAGACAGCGACTAGAACATAGTATTTAAGTTTCATTTTATTCTTAGAAACAGGCAGTTCTTCAAGCATACATTACACTTTCCAAGTAGACTTTCGTTTACTGATTGTCCAGGTATCCGCTTTCCAACAGCAGACATTTTGATAATGGGTGTTTTATACGATCTAACTTACATAAAGTACATCAAAATTGTATCGTTTTCACCTCAGGAATATTTCCAGACAGCATTTAATCTAAGAGAAAAATGTTTCTTCGTCAAATAAGGCAGCGACTTCACTCTGGTACTAGACAACTATTCAGTATGGTGCCGAGTCTTATCCAAATAATAACCTATCCTCTGAATCCTATAGATGACCTAAGGGACGAAGATAGAATTTCATACTAACAAATCAAGATTATAGTGATTTTAATAGTTGAATTCATGAGTCAATTGAAGCTAAACTGTCACTGAGAATTTGGAAGCGCTAAACGACCGTTTCATCCTAGCATGAGACTTCTCAGAATAGCGTACCCATGATACAAAATTCGAGACTCTAACCGAGGACCTATTAGTCTCGCACACGAATGCTTAAACTTCTGATCACTGAGTTGGCATTCAACGACGTCAATGTCTGACTTCAACTAAACCACTTAATTGAGCCACCATTATGCCGACCTCTTTCTGCCAATGTAATATGTCCAGTGATAATGTAGTTGAGAAAAAGATTATCAAAGTTAATTCATTGACAAGATTACGAAAGATTTCGAGAATTATTTTACACCAGAAATCCTTTAGAATGAGTAAATACTTTTACGGACAAATGATTTAACTGTTTGCAAGCTTTTTGTTGATTGACTGTATTGAACCTGATTTGGAAAAATAGTCGGGACATATCGTAGAGATGTATTATATCCATTGCTTATTGACACTTATTTGTGTATCAGTATTAGAAACCTTCATTGTTCTATTCAAAGATAAACATATCTTTTATCATGATCAGAATTTGTGACTAAGAATGCAATCATCATTCATTCAATTTTGATGAAGGGATGGATAGCTAACTACAGTAATACGAGTTTAACGATATCAAACAAGGGACAAAATTGATCTCAACGTTAATCTATTTCCTTCATGTGAACACCAAAGTTCTTTGATCTGTTGCTGTGTTCTTGTACTTGGGGTTTTGGTTGAAGTAATGTACCTCCGCAGCATAGAATTCTTAAAACAAACCTCCTTGTACCAAAATAATCATCATCATTCGTAATTGTGAATTACAAGATTCAACAGAAATAAGTGTTGATAACTACAAAATTGTACGTCACAATTCCTCAATACCGAAATCTATTTAACTGAATAAATTATCTGACTAAAAGACGATTTCAGTGTTTAAAGATGGTATGACTTGCTGATTGAACGCTATTCTCAGATCCTTAACTAGTCTAGTACCCCACAAGCTAGAACTACACAACGACCTAAACACCACAGAAAAGGTGTAAAATATACGAGAAGCACTTTACTCTAAAACTTCATTCATGTACAGAATATATAGGGTTTTTATAGTATTTTAGAAGTCCTTAGGTTTTCCTGAAAATTCTAGAATACTACTGAACATAGTAGCCAATCAAGACCGCTACATGTAACCTTTCACTTTCATTATGTTCCTGACAAAACTTCTAGTCAACGCTGATTGAATAAAATGCTTCTTAATGATTCTTGAGCTTGTCATGTCTATTACGAGAAATTTTTTGGATCATCAAAAGAGGGGTCACTTTGTTTGTCATCTATGCAAGTTAACTTCTCTGAGACTCGTTGAATAATGAAATATGGACGAGCACATTATTATTAGAAATGATACCTAATGCTCAATATCTAGCTAGTATAGCTTTACGTGTCTTTGCTTCATCTATACTTGATAAAGTTTTTCATACTAAAACTCTCATCAATAGTAGGTAAAACAGGATTCGAATCTTCGATGTACGATTCTGAATGACTTAAGTTCACAGCATTTAACTACTGATCCTTACTGGATATGTGTACTGTAAATACTCATAAAGTGATATATGCTACTGATGTCATTAGATATAAATAGTATACATCATCAATCGAAAGTGAAATGTCTGGAACCAGAAGAATAGGAAAATCAAAGAAAAAGAAGGATGTGCACTGCTGAAGAATCGCATAATAGGACGAAACGGCCGTCCAATGCTTCCAGGTTTTTGATGGTCGTCTAGCTTCAATTGACTCATAAATTCAACTATGAAAAAAAGAATAACAACAAATAGTGATTAGTGTGAAAATGAAAGAACAATGAATTCGGAGACGATTGACTGTTATTATGCGACTGAAGTATTTACATTATTATTCTCAGACCATCGAAATGCTTTGAGGTGTATAGTTTTGATTTTGAACTGGTTCAATAATCCATACTGAGATATAGTTATATTCAACTGATAATTTCAAAATAGAACGAAATAGGCTGGATATACATTTATTCTAGTGTTGAATTGTTTAGTCTACTGTTAGAACTCGCTTTGTTCAAATGTAGATGCTTGTATGAATATCTCTTTCATCAGTTAAATAAATTTGAAAGACTTCGGGTTTCAATCTCAAAAGTGAACATCAAATCGGATGTAAGGAACTTATTTCAGTTATTGTTATATTCTAGTGAAGATTAAAGTACAGGTTAATTCCGGGATCTATTAATGGACTATTATCTTATATATCTACTTATTGTATAACTACTTAGTAATTAAATTGTCTGTATGTTTATTCACCTTCTCATGAGCTTCATTCTGACCTACGGATTATTATTATACGAATTACTGTTCCTAAATTATATTGAGTTTATTGACTACTGTCTCCCACGTTCACAGCCACATATAACTTGATTTTATTTCCTAATTTCTGGTACGATGTAGTTCGTTCGTCCAGTATATAAGCCAAGTATGCTTGAAATAAATGATTTGCACAGTGGAAGTTGTCATTGTTGTTCTGAACTCAACTGGATAGATTAAGCTGGTAGAGGACCAATAACGACGCTAGGTTGTTAATACCGATCAAACATCATTGGTTCAGCACATTGCTAAGATTGGATAAGTCGTATTTCGATTGGTGAATAAGTTAAGTGATACAAAATCGGACGGTAAATTCGCAACAGTTATATTTTCTGAAGTTTTGATAGATGTATCTTCCTTTTTCAATGTCTATCATTAACTAAGTGCCTAACTACTATGAAGTTATTAAGTCATATTTAGACCAAATGTTTTTATAATAGTATTCGTTGATTGGTTGAAGTTAGACATTAAAACCCTTGGATACCAGCCGGCTCAGTGGTCTAGATGTTAAGAGCTCGTTCGCGAGACGGATAAATCCTGGGTTGGAATCTCGCGAGACGGGATCGTGGATGCGTACTACTGAGGAGTCTCACAATATGACGAAACGGCCGTTGAAGTAATATTTTGCATATCAATTACATATTTGAATGACAAACATTAAGAATAAGAAAGAACAAAATGGCGAAAAATAGTTGTTTCCATGGTTTATAAAACGGTTTGCTTTATTTATTTTTTTAAATCTAATACAGTTTTATAATGTTATACCGAGGAAGTTTCTGATAGTAGTCCTAAAATAAATGATAGAAAAGATCATCTTTAGTAAGATACTAAGATAGTTCAATATTAGTAATAGCTACACAGTTGAACTAATGAATCGATCTAAACTAGACCGCCATTGAATACCTGGAAACATTGGTCGATGTTTGCGTTTAACTTCAATCAAT